GTGCAGAGTTACATTTAAGCCATTTTAGGGCAACAAGGGATTATTCTAATGCGGAAAGATCTAAATATGTAACTTTAATATACAGTGATGAGTTTTTAGGGGTTACATTTAGGGGTGAGGAGGAATTTTGAGTAAGTACTTGGGTAAATCTGCATTTTTATATTCTACCACTGCTCATTATTTGATATTTTGAGTTTCATTTCAGATCAATCCTAACTCCAGCAGTTAGGTGGCAGTTACATTTTATCCACAACACTTTTAAGTCTAATCGCCTACTTTGACTTTCATGTTAAGTAGGTCTTGTATTAGACTGACGACCTGTCCAGGGTGTCCCCTGCCTTCGCCCTAAGTCGGCTGGGATAGGCTCCAGCCCCCCCGCGACCTTAGTGAGGATTAAGCGGTGTGTAGATAATGGATGGATAGGTCTTGTATTGGTTAATCTGCAGTTGTCTGAATAATTTCCTGTTACTACCACAAATCCATCAGTAGAATTATTGAAATTAATAGTTAAAGTTCATTCTTGACCTTTGAAATAGTATTCTGACAATGAAAAGCCAGGAAGTGGACCTGGAGTTCAGAAGTCTTTTTCAGACCAAACTGAAATACATAGAAACTGTCATCTGTGTTTAGACCTAAATGGAAGTTGTAGATACAAGCTTATAATGTACTTCTCGTATCCCACCAGGTATTGTGTCCACGGCCCTCGTCACAGAGACGTGGTGGAGGAGTTGGTGAGGCGGGAGGTGGAGCGCTGTGACAGACTGGCCGGGCTGGTGGCCATGATGAGTGTCGCAGGAGGAACAGGGTCAGGGGTCGGTGCCTATGTTACCCAGTGTCTCCGAGACATCTACCCAACCTCCTTTATCATCAATCACCTCACCTGGCCATATGGGACTGGAGAGGTACGGAGAACCAATAAGTGACCGGTTTTTAAGTTCAGAGGAATGTGCTCTGTTCCCATGTTTTCTCCTCAATCTGTCCTTTCAGGTGATCGTCCAGAACTATAACTCTGTGCTGACGCTGGCTCATCTCTACCAGTTATCAGACGCCATCCTGGTGCACGAGAACGACACGGTGCACAGGATCTGCAGTCAGCTGCTCAACATTAAACACATCTCTTTCAGTGATGTCAACAGGGTTATCGCTCACCAGCTGGGCAGTGTGCTGCAACCCGCGCTCACCACTGACTCCCACGGAGTCTACAGCAGAAACCCTCTGGGTGAGTGATGCCGAGATGCTCGCACACAAAAACACACACTCAAAAGGTTTCCCACTATAAATAGATTAATAGAGATGTAGTCTACACAGGCAGATTATTTTTCAACGTTTGCCTTACAGGAATATAACTAACTTCATTTTCTGTCTTTGTTCACACTTAAAGACATTTCATGATCCTGCTGTATTACAAGGCAGGTGGTTTAACACATTTAAAAGGTTAGAACTGTAAAACACAGGAAATAATGAACAGCTATTGATCATTTTTATGAAATGTGTTGATGTAAAAACTAGATATCTGAAGGTCTATTTAAATTCTGTTTTCCTAAATAAGAACTACGAAGGTATAAAACAGGCTCATATTACATATATGTATGTTTTTTTTTATGTTATTACGTTAGTTCCAGGATTTCTACACAGTATAGAAATATATGGAATTTATAGTGAGGGATTTCAAACTTTGGATAAGCACGAAAAAAGAAAACGTATTTGTGTTTCCAAAACTACTACCCCTATTCCGTTTTCTAAAGTCTTAAAACTAAATTTCAAAATTAAACTGACCATACAAGCACACTGTTTTTCATAGCATTTGGAGCAGGCAGCCAAAATGTTTACCACCATGTGAGCGCGAGGGCCAGAATGAGCTTGACGCCATTGGAGGCAAGGCAAGAAGTATAGCGTGTGACTGAACGTATGCTCCTATGCAGAGCTGCCTCAGCATCTGTATGTCACTGCCTTCAAAATAGCTCTTAACCAAGGGCCAAATCTAGACACGACCAAATTAGTTTGAAAGAAAATATGGCAATTCTTCGAATAGCTTCTATACATAGCATCACATATAAGCACATATTAGGCTGAACGTTTTTGAGTAATGCAGTGGTGCAGGTTTCAGGGAATTAAGTGGATTATCTTTTCTGTGTAAGGAAACCATGTCTCGTTTCAATGGCAACAGCAAATAAACAAGGCTGCAAAGATGCTGTAAAAATGACACTGTTTAACTGTGGCAACTCATCTTCAGTTCTTCAAAATAAAGGAAGCAAAAAAAAAAGACAGAGGGGTATACATAATGTATCAATATGTATTCATTATGTTAAGGGAGAATAAAACAAGCATAGGAAGCAATGGTACTCTTTGCGCAGAGATGTAGTTGCTCTTCATTGTTGCTCACTCGTTTAGTACTGCAGGTTAAATGAAATGTTGTGTGAACTTGTCTGGGTCTAGTGTTAGCTGATTGTAAGAGCTACAATCATATATATATATATGTACATATGTTAAAAAAAATGTAGCTATTTTTACTCAGATGTCAATTTTGTTGTAAAGAATCTCCCAAGAAGCCTGAAAAAGTATTGAAATTTGAAATGAAAATGTGATTGAACCAGCAGTTGTAATTTTTTTTGTGCATGATTGCGGCTGTCGGGAGACGCTATATGACTCTAAATTTAGAGTGGGATTGTCCTGACAGTGGATTGTGCAGCAAGAGGCTACTGTTGCCATCAGACCTGCAGCAAACACTATTGTTTCTGCTGCTCATTGGAAAGTGGAAGCTCATACATGCTTATTCATTTGTGTCCTTCATAAATAATTGTAGGTCTTGACTAGACACGGGACGGCCCTGCTGGTTATTCTTTGACTGATTATACTTGTGTTTAAAAAAACATCCTCAAAGTCTTAAATGTAATTGGGTGAGCACAATGAGAAAATGATGTTGAAGCCAGTGTTATTTTTGCTCCATGGTAGTGACATACTGAAATTTAGCTGACCAGCAGCGTTACAGTGAAGGTACCAAGAAAGTATTGATTACTGTCGACATGAAAAAGAAGGAGATAACCTCCAAATTTCATCTCAATGATTGTGGACCCTTAGTTTTTGAGATGCCTTTGTTAGGTAGAAAGGACTCCAATTCCCTGTTATATTAGTATAATTCTTGATCTGTTTAACATTGTCAAATGAATGAATTGCTTTCTGCCTGTGTGAGACTGATTGTCTTTTCTTTTTTTCTTTTCTTTCTGTGGGTGGGTGAGGACTGGGCTTTCTGTTTGTACTGATGAAAAAAGGATAAATATGTAACTCCAAAATACAAAAATATTTTAAATCTGTTCAAAAATCTGACAAAACTTTGCAGAAGTCTTCATTATCTTGATATCAAATCCTTTTGCCACTGATCCAACCACAGCATCAGGAGAAAAAAAAGAGGACTAAGCCTGTCTTAACACTTCTTACTGTTATTCTTTATTGTCCCTCAGGTGAGTTGGTGAGCGCTCTTGCCTGCCACCCAGAATACAAGCTGCTTAGTATGTGCACTATCCCTCAGATGCCCAGTTCCTCCATCGCCTACAGCACGTTCAGCTGGCCAGCGCTGCTCAAACACCTGCGACAGATGCTCATCTCCAACACCAAGATGGAGGAAGGCAAGTGTAGTCAGAAACTGATTGGTAACGTTTGCACTTACTCTGTTATGACAAGATAATACCGTGTTTATTAAGTGATTCTATAACTTGAGAGTGAGTGTGGCTTTATCCTCACCAGCCATCAGATATAAGTGAAATGACATTTTAAGAGGATATGTTGTTTTTTGTCTTGCTTCAGGTATAGACTGGCAGGTGCGTCCACCTGGAGGCTCTGGCCGAAGCATGGGTCTGACGGGAGGCAGCTTTAACACATCTCTGGCCAACCTGCTCATACTGAGAGGGAAAGATGTCTACAGTGCAGAGACAGGTCAGAGAGATGGGTGAAGCTTATTGATTGAAGTAAAAAATCAACTGATTGTATGAAATAATGTTTTCCTATTGATTTTACTGGATAAATCTATGATCGTCATAAAAGCTGTTTTTTCAGAGTTGTTCAGAGTTCGTGTGTAATTGTGAATTGTGTACTTATCCACAGGTGGCTTTGAGGACCCAGCCTTGTACACCTCCTGGCTTTCGTCAAAAGAAGCTTTCAACTCATGGAAATCCCCGGTCCCCTTTAATAAATATGAAAAATCTGCAACGCTGGTCAGCAACAGTCAGGCTCTGCTCAGACCTCTGGATGACATGGTGGGAAAAGCCTGGAATATGTTTGCCTCCAGGTGAGTCACTCTCTTCACAGAGAAATGTGCTTAAATATTTCCTTTGTTAAACGTTGGGTCAACACAGCCTGATAATTTTGCAAAGTTGTGCTTTGTTCATATGAAAATGATTTGAGGGATTTCGATTTCTATTTCTGTTGAGTCAGTGTATATATGACAGCATCAGAGTTTGTTTTTACCCAAATGTTAATGAAAAACAGAGACCAATCCTCGGTTTTCTCTCTGGATTTCCTCTCTTACAGGGCATACATCCATCAGTACACAAAATATGGCATCTCAGAGGAGGACTTCTTGGACAGCTTTACGTCTCTCGAGCAGGTGCTCTCTAGCTACAGACACCTGTGCTAGTTGTGGGAAAAACTACCCAACCAACCATGGTCTATATGTAGACCATAAGTATATTTATACATATGTACCATTTTGTAGGATGCTCTTTATATATATATTTATATATACATACATGTAAATAAAACAGATGGTTTGCTTTAACAGAATTTATTGAATTCTTTAATGTCTGCAGTGGCATAACAGGCTTTTTTTTTTTTTAACGCCTTAAGAAACACTAGGACACACACCCATCCATCCATTATCTAGACACCGCTTAATCCTCACTAGGGTCGTGGGGGGCTGGAGTCTATCCCAGCCAACTTAGGGCGAAAGCAGGGGACACCCTGGACAGGTCACCAGTCTATCACAGGGCTACACTTAGAGACAGACAACCAAGCACACTCACATTTACACCTACAGACAATTTAGAATCACCAATTAACATCAGCATGTTTTTGGACTGTGGGAGGAAGCCAGAGAACCTGGAGAGAACCCACGCTGCACGGGGAGAACATGCAAACTCCACACAGAAAGATTCCGGTGCCCCCATCGGGATGCGAACCGGCAACCTTATTGCTGCGAGGCAACCGTGCTGCACAATATTCAGCATGCCAATATTTTTAAACTAATTTTGGGCAAATGCTGATGCCCAGACATTTGCAGCTTTTTGTTTCACTGCAGAGAAAATCAGGTCTCTCCTGTAGTCGAATTAACACATTATGAAATCTACTTTTTTTTGTGATGGCCTACTGGCTGGTGCAGACTTAAAATACAGTGCTTTTCAAATGTTCACATTCATTCAGGCAAGATAAGAAAAATACTTCAGTTTACATGTATCATAACTAATTCATTTTTAACATTTTCAAACTACATTTTTAGACATACATTAATGTTCAATTTAGGCCAATGCCGATATTTCATTTTAAAGCATTTCTTAGCTGACACCAATGATGATGCCAGCATCCTTGTGTATCCCTTAAAATAAGTGTCTACAAATACAAGCGCTCACTATGCCAACCAACTCATTTCAGGATGTTAAATTATGGAGCCACTGAAGACTTTGGCTCAATTTACAGTTTCCTATTTCTAATTTTTTTTAATTGTGCATGATAATGTCATGCAAATGCAGACAGAGCTTTGTATAATTACAGCCCAAGCATGTTTACTCACCGAAAAATGAAAACACAGTTCAGGATATTATTTATAATATTGTGTGACAATATAAGTTGATCACACCTTTGAGTGTAAACTAAAACAATCTTGTAGCTACAGTGAAAGAAAAAAAAAAAAGTACAGTAAAAAGTTCCAATATTTATCTCTAAACTATAATAGCACAGATGTATGTAGCAGCATTTGCTTTATATGCTCAAGTACAAGTGCTTGAAAATTGTACTTGAATACATTTTATTTTACATTTGGATAAGAAGGCTTTAAAGACCTAAAAGATGCTCCATCGGCTAAAGATCACATGAAGTGATTGTATATTTACTATGTGGTGATACCATATGGAGCCACTGTAGCTTAAAAATGTGAAAGCATGTTAAAAGCAATAAAGTGCATTCAATGATCGTTTAGAAAAGCAATACCGCAGAAAGAAAACTAGCAAGGTCATCATACTTTTCATCACTTTATTGTTCATGAATTTTACACAGTAGAACTCAGGTGACATAAAAGCAGTGTCACGAAACACAGGCTGTTGAATCCACAAATGGATCAACTAAAGTGCAGTCTTGGTACGCTCGACATGAGTTTGGAAGCTCAAATAAAATGCTGAAGGCCCACAGCTTCAGCCAGCTTACAGACTGCTGTCGCCACCAAAACGTAACAGCCAACACCAGTCTGATAAGCTAGCTGACGGGGTGGGAGAGTGGTCTCAAGGCATACCTTACTGAGAATATCGAAGAAGATATTATCCATGAGCTGGAAGTGACCAGAATCTACAGAGAACATTTCAAGGAAGAAGGACTTTCCTCCAACACAGGGAGGATATTTGAGTCAAGTTGAATCGTCTGAATCAGCACAGACCATGACGAACATTCAAATAAAGAACACCCAAAAAGCCAAATTTAGGACATGATGCAATTCCTCTAAGAATTACTAAAAAGCAGTGAGGGCTGATCTGTGCACTTACCTTAAAGATGGTCATTTCTAAGAGAAAACGAAGCATTAGCTCTGCTGTGATGCTTAAAAACAGCTCTAAAACATCACACGATTACAACAAAGCTTTGTCATAATGAACATTTAAAATAGATTACAAAAAAAATGACACACTCAGACTTGGAAACAAGTGCTATGATTTTCATGTTTTATATATGATCTGATCCAACGTTCAACCTAAATGTACAGAATAGAAATGGGACTAGTTAGCTGAGAGTACAATGTCACTTTACAAATGATATCACCTTTTCTTTTGTGTTTTGGTTCAAGTTGACTCATGTCCACACAGAGCATTAGAATAGAAATACATCTGAGCATACTGTCAAAAAAGATATTAAGATATTTACACAATGTGCAAACCATCAATACCACACTGTTTTAAGTTGATATTGCTTTTTTTTTTTTCTCCACCGTTTTAAACCGACAATTCCATAAACAAAAGTAGACAAACTGGTGTTACTGTTTAACAGGACAAAAACATGAGGACAATTAAACCCTGAAAAGAAACACCACCCATAGCAGTTATCTTGGCAGCACACTGTACAAACAAATCAAGATCCATCCGCACATAAATGTTACAAAATTAAATAAAAATCAAGTCAAGGGAAGTCGGAGCTTCCCATCTTGCATAAGGCATAGCATCTGATGGGCACTGCCCTAACACAGCAGTTACCAACCAAACCGCTGCTTTACTTCTGAGGTCAACGAATGGATTAATTTAACGTTAAAGTAACATGTTAAGATTAGCAGTAGAACCAATCATACTACACACATCTAGAGAGTGAGATGAGAAAAGGAACTACAAAACCTGAAGAGGGAAACGGTTAACAGTACATACATCCTCAGAAGCGCACACACACCAACAAATAATGCCTGGTTTTTAGAGCGTTCGGCCTCTTTGAGAATGGATGAAGGTGAGGTTTGTTGTCAAGTTGTGAGTGGCTGTGGCTGAGTGGAGGGCTCTCAGCAGCAGCAGCAGAAATGCAGTCACTTGGATGTTTGTACTGCTTTGTTTCGCCATCACTTGGTTTTCTCCTCCGAGTGCCGAAGCTGCTGCAGCCGCTTGCCGTAGCTCTGGGCCATGGAGTTGACAATGGAAATGACAAAGTAGCAGACCATGACCAGCACCACCTTCTCAAACACCCACGACAGCCAGTTCTCATCCTGGAAAACCCAAAGTGAGGGTGGGGATGCTGTTAATGGCTCTTACACAAGCAAACTACATACAATAGTGGCGTTTTTAAACAAAATTTCAGGTTTGACAACAAAGACATATTTGATAATTAACGCGCATGATGATACTACATGATTGTAAGAAAAATTATATTCCAAAAGGCTAACTTTTCTAATTTACAGAATATAGGTGATGGATTGAATGCATACAGGTAAAACCGGTTGTTATTAGCTGATTACAAGTATATTACTGAATGTCAGCCAATACAAAAGAAATTGAGGTACAGAAATGACTCAGATATTAATTTAGAAATTGTTTCTCAGTTCATCGTTTGCCCACCAGAGAGCACTGACTATTACACTTTAAACTGTGAAATTTAACACAATCCCATAATCATCTAAATTAACAATCTCTGTCAAAATAGTTCTGTTGTATGACTTTCTGGACTCTAAATATCAAGTAAACATCAAGTAATAGTTGGCCAATGCTAACAAAAAAGCAGATATTTTTTTTTATCACGCCTAAACTGTTGTTGAATTATAGGTAGTTGAGAAATTTATGGCTCCTTAATTTCCAGTCTCCAGAATGACAAAAAGCTGGGAGACACATAGCTGCTACTCTTAAATACTATAATACATAATTACAGCTCACATTTTAGAGATAAGAAAGGTTGCCACCTGAATGTGGTGCATGGGAAAAATGTAAGTATATTGTTCTTACCGCTGGTGCGCTTCCTCCAGCATGGTGCAGCTTGTTCCTCTGTGCTTCCAGGTACTGACTGAAGGGCTTCTGGAGTGATGGTCCTAGTTTGGGTACAGACCTGACACCACACAGCAGCACAGAACAGACACAAAAAGAGAAAGAGAGGAGGAACATTTAGTCACTTACCCCTACAGCACCCTTCCTTATCCATGAGGTCAAAACTGAAGCTTTAGCTCCTCAACACTTAGTCCCTGTATAAGGCTCTAAAAAGCTGTTCATGAAGTCTCTTCCTTCCCTCAACACTACCAAAGGTCCTCACTGATCCACCAGCCAGCCAGCATCCTGCTGAAGGCCCCATCCTACAGATGAGCCCTATCTTGGAGCTGCCACCTCTTCTAATTGTTACTCTGAGCAGGAGTAGGCAGCAGAGAGGAATGAAGCAGCAACTCATCGGCCCTCCTTTTATTCTCTTTAGCTCTCTATAGGCGTCTGTGTCAGCCCCCTTCAACCAGGAAGTGAGTCGGCATGATGTCATCACCTTTACCACCATTGCTGCCTTCTGGGTGGAAAGACATCTAATCAGGGCGTGCTCATGTCCTTATTAGGCAGTGTGGATTAACTCAGCTGGGGGCCAGGCATGATGAATTCCATTTTAATTTATTTCATATATAGGCATTGGTACAGTAGTTTTAGAATTTGGTCAGCAGTGGTGCAGTTTCAAGAGAATCTCTACCTGATGTAAGACTTATCATTACCGTGAAAAGAAAAATATACTGCAGGCTGTAGACACTTAGACACAGACTTCCCACTGCATAAATTCAATTCTGCCTCTGGTCAGGACATAAACATGTTGTCTAGACTAAGCAAAAACACGAGAGATAACAAACACCAAATGAGGACTGGGTAATTGCTGATGTCAAGTACACCTAACTAGTTTTGAGTCATTCACTCTTGTTATCGCCCTCACTTTACATGAATACACACATAGAAACCGGCGAAGAAACATCCTGTATCAGCACTATCAGCACACATCATTGCGAGTCACTAAAGGCCATCTGAACATCATGGGAAAGAACCTTGAATTTTGTTTTCATCAGAAAGAAAAGGATTCAGGTCTAAATATGGTCAATGGGTGTATTACTTCTAATTCCTGTGAATTAGCTAAATCTGAGATTAGTTAAACAATCAAACAAAGTCATTTTTTTTTTTCTTTGTCTATGATTGTGTTTTCCGCTTCGCTGGGGCAATTCTCTCAGTCAAAGCTGAACTTGGTGAGTCAGATCAACATGTTTGGATGGGACCTCACACGCCTGACCACCAATGCTGCAGAGATGGATTGCATGTGAAGGGAAAGAAATACCTTTGTGTGGAAAAATGCACAATGCATGCACGTGAAAGCATTTATTCATACAAGAACCACAATCAGTGGTAAAAATGCATCTGAAAATGCTTACAAATGCATTGGCAACCACAAAGCCAGAGGAACGACAATGACTCCACAGAGTACCTGAATGCAGCCTTTCTCACACTCACAGTACATGGCAGCACCACACATAATATACAAACACTTACCCAATGAGTGACACCATTTGCTCCACTATGTGCTTGCTGAAGGTAATGATGACAAATAGTTTCTGTGGGAAAACATGAGAGATTATTAAGATTGAAAGCCCACTGACTAACTAAATGCAGAGATAAACAGCGCACAAAAAGTTTGTAACTTCATTCAAAAAAGGAGAAATTTAGTGTTTAGGGAACAAATAGTTAACTTGAGTGAGTGAATAAACTCAAATGACAGAAAGACATATTTTAATTCCTAATTGTAGTTAAACAGCTGTAAGAAATTGAGGCCACATGTGCCACTGTTCACAGACATGCTAATTAAAAAACTCGAACCTGGCACTAAGCAAAATTTTGGGCGGCAAGGGGCTTTTTGTGGTTTACAAAGCACCAAAGCGAAGGGATACGGGGGGTTGGGAGGCCTGAAAACCGCAATATTCTTCTCCGGTTCTGAAACTGATCAGCTTTAAAACAGCATGACACATGGCCCCCTGGACAAAATCAGACAGGATATGACATGTGGTGTCCAACAGGTTCAAGGTACAGAAATGGAAAAAAAAAAAAAAAGGACAAAGACTCTCCCCCCCCCCACAGCCTTTTAAAGTCTGCTCAATTTCCTTCTCCCAGGTCTACCTTCTCATGTCCACTCTACATCCTCCATTACCCCCCGCTGCCTCACCATCCCCTTTGTCTGAAAGGTCTCAGGAGTGAGATCACTGGCTGGTACTACCAAAAGATGGATAGTTTGTTAAGACACTCAGCGACTCACCCACAGTCAGAGACAAATCCGCTCAGTCTAGGCTTATATTAGTCACTGGTGTGGCAGACTCAACAATAAACTGCATAATGAACAAGTTTTGTCTTTTTTTTGATCTCGTGCAAAATTCTAACTCTTGTTAAAGACTTCCTAAAAGCTTTCCTCCTTTCATCTGGAGCCTGTTTATATGGTCTGGATGCATCCCAAAGCTAAACCAAGAATAAGGAATCCCCAAAGGAACAGAGCATCATCAGAAAGAGTTAACCAGAAGTGCGCAATTAGGAGTTTCTCATAGTCACCAACTCATGATCTAAGCACTTGGCTTGATCTTTCCCACACGTTCTGAGGTTGTGGGGATTGTTCAAAGTGTATCAGTCAGCAGTGGAAACCCTTTTTTCTTCTAAGTGGATTTTTGACATGCATTATCACACCGTAGACAGAGAATTGTGATGACTTGAAACAAAAGATGAATCATAATCGAAACAAAGGTGTCGCAAGTATGTGGGCATGTGCGTATATGTTCAAAAATGGAAAAACTTTTTGTAATTTGAGGTGGACTGTTTATTTGCACGGCTTTAACTGCTTATAATAAAGCTTTTGGCGAAGCCACTGACCTGTATATGCATCTTGATGATGGCTTTCCCAATTAGAGTTGCTCCAAAGAAGGTCCAGAAAGGAACCAGGAAGTGGCCGCAGGTTATGCCAGCCAGGTCAAAGAGAGGATTAGGAATCTGAAACACGCACACCAGACAATCTTACAGATCCTTAGTCTTGACATGAACATAACCTGTAAGCAACTAACTCAGTTAAGTAAAGTGTAAAGTATAAAATTTAACACTAACATTTGATCAGGCATGTCATTCTCATATTCCATTTGCACTATTCTCCTTTTACGTGTACTTTTATACTTGTTGCACTATTTCAATTCAATTTTATTTGTATAGTGCATATTTACAACAACAAGTCATCTCATAGCGCTTAACAAAGGCAGAGACAGAAACACCCAACAATCCAAAACATTTGGATTCCCTATAAGCTTCAGCAGTCCGCAAGCAGTCTGCAACAGTGGGAAGGAACCGAAAACCCCCGCAGGGGAAAAAAAACCACCGACAGAACCAGGCTTTCTGATACTTATATTTATATGTACATTTTTCTGTATAGTATTTGTGTATCTCTATGTGTAAAGCTGCTGACAACAATGTGAATTTCTCCACTGCGAGATAAATAAAGGCATATCTTATCTTATCTTAAATAACGTTTAAACTAAGACCTTGAAAAATTTCTACTTACTGAGGCACAAGCCAAGATCCCAAAGAATCCCACTTTCTGCACCATATGCTGGACTCCGAGTTTTGCTCTTGTGACAAAGTCCTGCAAGAAAATATATATATTAAAATGCAGTCTTTAATACATCACTGTTGCCAGACATGGTTGTGCGTATTTGGGTACAGTTATTTTCAGGTGCTGTGTGACTTTCACAGCTCACAGCTTTCAAACCCTGCTTCACTCCCCTGCATCACAAATTTTACATACACATGGAGATCTCTGAACACATAATCACCCTTTTTTTCTTTAAATAACCGTGCTGTACTTTTTGCAAATGTGTGGTTGTAACCACACCGTTTTTAACAGTGGTGCTGTCTGAAATGTTATTACAAGGAACAAGAACCTTGGTAAGAGCACTGTGGTAAAATACCTGCTATTTCGGAGCACTGAAAGATTTTATTTTGGTTTGTGAATTTGGTGGCATTTCAAATAAAATCTGTGTGGTACAAAAGTGCCGAAGATCTTTTAAGTCTATCTTCATCCCTGTGGGGGTGAAATGACTGTGGTTACATGGTGAAGATCACAGCCGATGCAGGAGGGAGATTAAGAGGCGGTTCAAAAACTGGCACCTTATCAATGTTAATTTTGGAAGCGATATAAATTTTGGTTACAATCTTAACAATTAAAACTCAGTTTTCATTTTCAGATCCAACTTGTTTTTTTGTTGTCGATTCTTCTATTCACAATTTTCTGTGCATAATATTTTATTCATAATTTTGTTTTCCCTCATGTAGATATCGCAGAAATGCAGACTTATACAAGTGAAAAGCTCTGTTGAGTTTTTTCTTTTTCAGATTTGTTTCAACGTACCCTTCGTCAGTGTATTCCAATACTGACTAATTATTACTAGAATATATTAACAATCACTTTAAACATTTACTCTCCACATATTTTAAAATAGGGTTTTCTCTTTTTCTAGTCCTGACAATCTTTACTATAACAAAGGTTTTTGTTGTTGAAATAATTTGACAATATTTTTGTGTGACATTCATGTGTTGATCAAGTCTTAACAAAAGTGCTTGTGATTGTTCAGTGAAGGTGCTGCTGACAAAACATATGACAAATGCACAGGTGTAAAGACCCTGAACACAAAGCCATGACGCCAGACGTGATGTGAAGTTGACCCCCTCGGCCCGTTGAGCTGACAACCAGTGAAGTGAGAATAAGTGATGGAGACAATGTAGACAATTTCTCTCATTTCTGTTCTGCTGACTCAGCATCTGATCTCAGCAGGATCCAGTCATGTGAACTTAGTTCCTGACAGTGCTGTCTGTCATTCAAATTAGAGGCCGGTGAAAAGAAAGACAGAGGGAGGAAGGAGGGAGGCAGAGAGAGCGAAGCCCGAGGGATGATTAAAGAGGGAGTTGTGCTCAGGGTGACTCACCCACGAACAGAGAGATTTACTGGAAGTAGGAGGGAGGGGCTTCACTGAAGTCACATGCTGCTTTAAGACCAATCACTGGACAAGTGGCTCCATGGTCAGTTGTGCGTTGTGAAAATGAGACTAAATTATATACGATCAGATCATATTGAGTGGATCGGCAACATGTAAACAAATATGCTAAAATAACCAGAACAAAAATAGGTTTGATATTTTAAGAATTCCATTGGTTGCTGTGCTTTTTCTGTGGAGGGCAAGGGGTTGAATTTGACCGCACTAAATGTGACAAATTTAGGGGTTACTAATCTTAAATTATTCTCTGTATTTAGCTCTTTTGTTTTTAGATTTTCTTTAATCAAGAAAAAAGTGATACACCTTAAATGTAAAGCTGCCACCATTTTGGCCTTCTTAGAATCCCATCAACAGAATCATACAAGTATCATCTCTTAAGTCTTAATGCCAAATATTCTCTGTATTTATGGACCCATGCATTTGCCCTGCTAAAAAAGGAGTTCACGTTAGAAATGGACAAGCCAATGGCTCTCATAACTTGAGTGTTTACAACTCTCACCTGAGCACCTTCAGCCTGCTCAAGCATCTCCTCAAACTCCTCATAGTCTTCGTCATCTGGATCAGCTCCTGACTGACGAGCCGCTCTGGCCATGAAATAAGGAGGCAGCTCCCCGATGGCAGTGCCTGCACCCTAAACACACAACTTAAAATTGTTACAAAGCTTCATATACATATTGATTTCATACATCCACACACAGACGACGACACATGGCACAAAGAACTTTTTGAGTTCCGATACATGCATCTACTTTGTGAGATATGACGTTAATGTGGGATGCATGTATAAACAAGGTCCACTGTTTATTTTTTCTGCCAGGCAGGCACAAACACATGCTGAAATGGTAAACCGGAGTCCAGATTCTTGGTCAAGTTGCCAGCTGTCACAATGCCACCAAAGGCCACTGCCAAAACATTCTTGCCATTTTTCGGTGTGGATCACTCTGTTGTATCAGCATTCAAATTACTACTCACCCACATGCAGGCCTCCAGGCGGACCTTTGACATGATTGAAAGGAGGGAGATGCTGCCTTCCACGGCTCCACCCTGGGGACAGACAATCTGGTCTGGGTAGGGAGGCTCTGGGAAGTCTGTGGAGCCACACTCGTATGCTGCCAGGGTTACTGATGCTATGTGAGGACCCTGAGAGAGAGCGATTGGACAGATGGAGACAATGAGCTACTTTAATGAACTAGAAACCACTGAAACATACACAGTTCAATGTTGGTCATGAAACACTCCATTGTCAATGGTAAAAGAGCAATGTCAGATTTGGCTATGTATTATGTAGTAATTACTCTTATTAATCTTGTGTCTAATCTCCAATATTCTCAACAGTAACGGGCATTATGCAGAAGATTTAAATGTAGCCAGTTTATTAGGATGCCTAGCTTAAACTAAAGCAGTCTAATAAACAGTCTGAAATAAATCCTACTTTCATGAAGGCTCCAATGTTCAGTTTTTGTTCAGACTGTTTTATACACGTGTTGATGCAACTTTGTGATAATTTTGGAGGCAGCAATTTGTGGTAATGCTGAATTGGGTTTTCTAATGTTCAGCCTACCTGCATTAGATGTAATGCTTTAAAATTGAGCCTGTTGTTGTATGGTTAAACACAGCTTGTGTGATTCATTTGGCCACAGTTAGAGACGCACACCAACAGTAGCCTAGTCACAATCTCTCTGACAGGTAGGTATGTCATCATTTATCATTGCAGAGATGTCTGGTTAGGTAGAGCCACCTGGCCTCAATAACAGTTGGCCCACCTGTAACTGTAACACAGCTAATCCCTTATGCCTTGAAGGAGCTACAGGCAACACTGACAGGAGATGGACAGCACACAATTAGTCTGCGTTGACTGCAAATGCCCCACCACAGAAACTCTACACCCCAGTCTGAGTATGAGCACACAAGAGGCTTCTTTAGTTTACACAACACAGTCTCTTTCCAGTCATCATCTCTTCTTCATGATACAACAAGTCCAGTGTTGTCAAGAAAGAAGACGCTAAGCTATGATTCAAACTTTTGAAAAAAAAGTCCCGATACAGTCAACAGACAGCAGATACAGTCGGCCTGCACTGCATCTCTTTGTTCACTGAAGTCAACGGAGTAAAACTCTCATTCAGGGTGAATGAACAAGTTCTTTTCTCATTAACAAATCTGCAAACAGAATTAAAACTGACCATGTTACTAATCACGTCTTTTAAGAACCAATGTTTTGTCGAAAGTACTGCTAGTGGATTCTTGAAGCCGTAAAGTTCGTACAAGACAAAAGTGCTGGATGGAACAAACAACATACTGGCATGTTTTAGTCTTACCAGTAGTATGTCTAAATATGTGAAGGTTGATAGGAGTGTGATCCAACACGAACAGCTATAAGGATATTCAAACTTTAGCTTTATGAATGAGCTCAGCAGATTTCTTTTACAGCAATCTGCAATAACATTTTGACCTCTGGATCATGGGTGTGGTTCCTGTGTGTCACCAAAAATATTACAATTAATCCTCCAGGGGTTCATGAGCAACCACAGCAAACTTTGTGGAAAGCCAACCATTAATTTTAAAAACACTATGTGTGGGTTAAATTACATTCAATACCGACCTGAAAGTGAAATGAAGTTACTAAAATTAGGAATCACCTTCTGGGAATTGTACTAAATTCCTGACGAACTTGCAGGTAGTAGTTCAGATTAATTAACAAATGGCTGAACTGACAAAGTAGTGGATCAAAATTGTACATGAAAATGGAAATAGGCTTTAAATAACTGGGGATCTGTATGATATATGAGCATGTTTAGTTTAACCACACATTAAGACTTAGAACCCAACACTTAAATACACAGCAATGACCTTCAAAACACCATGATGAATCATAAGATCATACTGGTGAGTGAATCCCCTCGCCCATGAACACAATGATCTCATCCTCTCTATGGGGCTATCTATTAATGCTTGAGGCTTGAGGTAAAGTCACAGTGTAAATCTGCTGGTGGGAATTGTGGTTTTTCTTTAAAATGAACACCAGGAGTTTCTATGGTTGGCATGACCACTGAGAAGGCAGAAGGCACAACTACGTTTTAGTGGACAAAGAAACAGGAAATACCCTCCTTATGAACAGCAGCCTTAGATCATGTGGCCAACAATGTTAAACTCTGTATGTTAGTCACTGTATGTATCAACTCTTGCTATATGGACTACAGCATTTTAACCAAAGAGGTATGTCACTTCTCAAATACCACACTCTGACTAAACATCAGACCAAAAGGCCTTCTGGACAAGAAACATGTCTTCATGTCATAGTATAAGAAAGGTAGCAAAAACCAGCAGCTCCAACAAGGAGACACTGGAATATAAACTAGAGAGAAATAAGATAAAGGATGCCTGGATTGGTATGAGAGAGATTTCTTGCTTTGGGCAGATGACAGGAGGTAAAACAGAGAGAGATTGTGCCAAGAAACAAAAAAAAAGAAGAAGCTGTATGCAGTTTTCAACCTCTCCATAAGCACTGCCCTTCAGCTACAATCTCTTGAACATGCTGTTAAAACTAATTATATCCTGCATCTAATTTGTTTTCACAGTGCATATGTCATGCATGCCTCCAGAATATGCTGTAAATATATACATACTGTATACATACAACTGTTCCATATACATGCAGACAAAAAGACTAATATCCACAGTCATCATATGTTTAGCGCGTGATCGGAATAGTTACAGGAGAGGCGACAAAACTTCTGTTAAGCTTTGTCCCTCTGAGTGGCATGTATATGTGACTGGATGGGAGTAAAGTAAAGCATGGATTGAGGGGGGATTGAGGATGAGGTGCTGCAGAGCGTGCCATTCCAAGCAAAAGAAACATTCTACTGTAATGAGTAGCAAAAGACAAAAAAATATTAAAACATTGATTGTATTTTCTTGTCTAAACACAATATTTGTGATAAGACCTGTAGTACATTCCAAGTGTGAAATGCTAAGATGAGAGAACAGAAAGTCTCTATCAAAAGAGCCATTGGCAGGCAATCAAATAATTATACAATAAAGGCTGGTAATTGTAATGAGTAAAACCATTTTAACTGATGCCAGGTTGTTCCATCTGTGGGAGATGACAGTGTCTAATCATAGCAAGAAACCTCCCTCACACAGAAAGGGGAGACGAAATGAGGTCACACTTTCTTAGTATTAAGATACACAACTGTGCACACAAATACGTGGACCCACACAATACATACTATGATGAACAGCACTAAGGTATTATTGTTGCACAGTGAAATTGCTCAAACAAACACATGGTTGAGCTGTGATTAATAAAGGGAGTGCACGTTATTTCTGAAAAACAGGAAAGTCACAGTTACATCTTTTCCCATTATTTCATTATAATGGAAATGGCTGACTAAGCTAGCCCACATCTGCAGAAGTTCTACAGAACAGAAGCCACATCATCAGCCTAAAGAGGACTATGGTGGAGAATTTCTTCCTCTCTTTCATTTTGCTAAATTCTCCTTTTTGACCACAACCAAGACAAATGACACATATTTTGGTGACTCAGTCATATAGTCATTCAGCGACTGCCTGTCAGGGGAAAATCAGACTTCACTCTTTGAGAGCCTTGGACAGACGGGTGACAAAAGTTTGAAGAAGATGAGGAGTTCTGACTGAGTATGGACTATGATGCCATCCTCTGGCTACTACAGGAATAGGTAAAGGTATTTGTTCATGTCAGGTATGCAGGTATAGCTTTAAGATAGACGCTTGTAGTGTCATTTACGTCTGACACAGCCTGCACTTTGTAGATACACACCACATCCTGACCCATGCCGAGTACAGTCAGCCAGATAATGATGGTTATCAGTTTCTCTTTAAACCCATTAGCATTTTGTAGCCTTGTGACAGTTGAGATATGGGCTGCATGTGGGCTGGCTGACTGAAGTTATGGCAGAAATGCAGAAACGATGAAGTGGGTACGGTCATGTCAAAAACATGAGGAAGACGAGGATCTGAAATAACTGGTTTGATGGGAAGTCTGCATGGATTTAATGTCCACGATTGTCTGTGTGGAGACAGCTGAATGACTCCGTTGCTGAAAGACATTCCATGTTATTTTTTTCATTGCAATCATTAGTGCAAACAACTGGGGAAACATTTACAGCAGCATCATATATGCTCAAGTTGATATAAATTTTATGGAAAGCCAATATAGTGGTAAACTCCACATGTTACAGAGACAGATTAATTGTTGCTTTTTCCTTATGCAAGGTTGTACTATCAAAGATATAACTGCCCTCAGAGAGAGGAGGCATTCTCCTATTTCAGTGGTGTGTCAGGCAGCCTACAATGACTGCAGTACTGTCTTAATGGAGTGCAGCCTGGAACGTTCTTTCATGTCTATAAAGGCTATACTACATTTTCACATGTAAAACAAATCAGCTGTTTGCTATGTATTTAAAGCTGGAGTGCAGGAAAGTTCCAAAGAAACACTTGCCAGATGAGTTCACACAATGCCGATGAATTTGCAGCATATAAATCTCTATATTTTGCAGTATGCTGGGGTTTTAAATCTGGTTTGTGTGGCGGTAGCAATGTGTTTTTAGTCAACCAGCAATGATTGGGTTGCTAGAGTGAAAGACGAGAACAACTGGAGGTATGGCGAGGCGTACATCATAAGCATGTGTCAACAGTGTTGGTATAATTTCTCTCATTGCCAGTGGGGTGAGACATCAGTTTCATGCTGCAGGTTGAAAAGTTCCTTAATCCAACAGGAAATAAACATGTATACTCTTTACAAGTGCATCTATCTTTTGTGTTAACGTATATAAAGATGTGTTGCATGTACATTTTGATACCATGTGTTTTCTCTTACCAGATAAAGAAGGAAGGTGTGTAGACCAGTCCCAAGGCCTACTGAGGAAAGAATCCCAAGGCCTACCCAGTAGGCGCACCATAGAAACTTTTTCTCCAGGTATTGAACATACTGCAGCGAAAGACAGCAAAGAAATTAAACTATCTAAACATATCAGATGTGGGTGAACACAAGGAACAAGTCATTAAACTCACAGCGATGTCAATAATGTTGTTGGCTTAAGACAACAAAAATACATGATGCTGATATTTATTAAACGTTTTTTTTTATTTATTTATTTTTTTTTACTAAGAAACCCTCTCTTAAATGTCATCATGGTATAGTCAAAAAAGAATAAAGTAAAATCTGTTTTAAATCATATAACAATGTTTAAGAGAATGAATTTTATGGTAACTTTTTTCAACATTTCAAATTGCTTTATTTATTTCCAACACATATATTATCATGTATTTTAACTAAATGTATTGGGCCAATTAATAGTTCATCATCAGTGCATTCTATGAAGGTGTCAATTCTACAATAAAGCACTAAAGCTTGGTGGTGCTATAAGTGAACCATGACAGATGGCTGCACACGTGAATTTGTAAACAGAACTTTCAGCCAACTGACTGTATGATCAAGGGTTACTTGACAACAATGCAGAATGCATTATCGCTCAACACAAACTTTTCTTCTAGTAGAAAAGTGACTTATCATTAACCTTTAAACATCTCAGCAATGCAGCAGTGGTGTTGATTATTAACACCACTAAACACACAAATGAAATCAAACCTTACTTGTTGGTGTGTTCCCTCAGTGGAGTATGCGATGGAAAAGAGACAACACAACACCAAAAATAAGAACACTGTGCCCCGTCGCTGCCAAAGCCTAAACGAGAAAGCAAGAAAACAAAATGATCCGTCATGAAACAAGCTCCAAACTTTCAACTGAATTTTTTTTTTCTTCTCTTATATGTTAAACTTGTGGACATCAAAAACCAACAGCTCAGTACATAAGAAAACCCATAGTGGCTTTAGTTTATTGCATTTTGCCCTGCAAATATAAATATATTTGAGCTGTCTAGAGTGTAAAATATGGTTCCTAAAAAAAAATGAAAATCTAGCTCCTCAGAGACAAAGCAGTTACTATTTATGTAACTGTTTAGGTCAAAGGGGATGTCTGCTTTAGCAACTGTTGAGCAATTCAGTCACAAGAAGAAAAAAAAAAAAAGGGACAAAAGTCACTAAGTTCATCGAGCACAAATATCCTCAAAAGACTAGATAGTTAAGAAGAAAGGCACATAAGAAAAACCTGTTTAACGTCTTACTTAAAGGTCAACTCCTTTAGCTTAATGAGGGTTTCCAGAAGAAAGTAGTGCAGAGTGGTGACAGGCCTCCTCCATAACACCAGAGACAGACGCTCCTCCTTATCCTTCTCACGCCTGTCTCTTACTGACGCGTCTGGTGGACAAAAAGAAGTACAGTCACTGTCACATTCAGTATTACTTGGTAATACATCAATTACTGTATCCTGTTGAACAGGTGTTTCTAAATACATGATGAATATGACATTCACAAGTCTGCTACTGGTTCTGTGCTTCTGCTATGAGACAAGTTGCTACTTTGCACCCATGCAAACTGAAAGTGACCCAGATGGAACATGTTTATGGCCTGTGCACGCCATGAAGTGGTGCTCATTGTTCTGTCATCACAGTTTACACAATGTCAACTTTCCAGGCATACTTCCAGAGATAAGTACTACGTTTTCTATAGTCCGCTGTACTCAAACTAACCTGCGGACTTCCCATTCTGTTTGTCTTTAGCTCCTGTGCGTTTCTGAGGCTGTTCACAGCTTGCTCCATTGGCTGCCATGTCAATCTCCGTTTGGCAGGTCAGGCAGTCTGAGACAACAGAGAGGATGACAAGTTGGCGTTTCTCCTTCAGCAGAGTCCTCACGGTTTCCCTGATTTCTACTAAACAAGACAATGTGGCAGAGACACTGTGTGGGAGAATGTCCAGTGGTGAAATCCTTATCTGCGGTTCTTAAGCAATAAAATATGTGAGTGCGAGCGTTTCGTCAACAACGCCGGCTAGCTAACATTAACATCCATCAGGGGGATTACAGAGAAAAATATCACACAAAGCGACGAAGTGAAGGCGGTTTTTATTACCGAGATCCTTATGACAGTAATGTATTTAGTTAGACGAAGCAACAGTTTTCCTGTAGGTCAGTCTGTAACAAGATATGCTGCCAAATGCGTGTACATGAAAACCCTCCACATGCTAACCGGTTAGCCAACACACTGACGGCTAAACTAGGGAGTCTCTACATCAAGATAAAGGTTTTAAAATCATTAACGAGTCACCTTACTTATAGACAAATGTGTGCAAGACTTTGTTTCCGTTGTTCTGTTATAGTAATAAGGAAGGAAACGCTGTACAGAAGTGAAAGAGAGCGATGTTTGTTAAATTATATGACAGTCGTCGTACCTCTTCGCTGTCCTCTTCACCCGGAACCAAACGCCGGACGTGTCAACGTAAAACCTGCGCTGCCGTTCAGCCACGAACAATTCTCTTTAAACGAGTTTGTTATTAACTTTAAATGCTTGTATAATAATTTGGATAATTTTGGAAGTGAGGTGTGGTGTAACTTTAGCTATATGTTGCCTTTGGATTCTTTTTATAACCTTCAGCTCATAAATGAAATACTTTTATTGAGAAATCGATGTGAAGACGTAGCTTCCGTGAGTTGTGTTTTATGGTCCAATCGGTGGTTGCCAGATTTGCCAACAAAACGTGACACTTACACCTTAGAACTGAAATACTGTATTATTTTGAGTATAACTTTGACCGATTGTTGCCTCTTTATGGGAATTTTGCGCCTTACATTCATGGAATATATTAGCATTGAAAGGTCAAAAGGGTCATTTTCAGCTTGAGTCATGCGGTTGATTTAAAAAAACAAAAAAACCCCACATTGCTCTGTTGCTTAGCCACTCTCTGCCTTTAGGAAAATTAGAGATCGGGACTTTTCCAATTGTGAAATACATACTTCAATGATTTCTCACGTCTTTTTGAGCTCTTCAAGGACAATGCAGTAGACTGTGTATATAGGACATCATTTTATTCAGACATACAGATACCAAAGCTATATTGAGCTACACGTGAAATATAAGCCCTACTGGCCACAGATGTTCCCATAAATGATATCCCACTCCTCATACAACATGGACCTTTGCATCAACATTCAAAAATTGTTAAGTGAAGCCTCTGGGGTTCAGTAATCACAGCTTGAAATGTACACTCAATTTGTGTGTTCACACGGAGGAAAAACACTCGACTGCTTCTTTGTTTTATTACAATACCAAATGAAGCCTGAGTATACAAATATGAATAGTTGCAACAATGCATCTGATTCAAAAAAAAAAAAGAAAAAAAAAGAGATGAAAATAAAACTAACCTGTATGTGCTACCAAAATTTGAATTCACATTACTTTTTTTAGTTTTAAAATTACCCCAATTTTGATTAACGCAAAAAGATAAAAACAACAAGAGATCTTCATTCGGAGTAATTAAAACTGCTGGTAATGACATGTCAAAATGTCAGTGTAGTTGCATGTGCTTGTACTTTTGTCAGTACGTATATAAGTCAGTGTTATTTGGAGCAACAAAAGAGAGTCAAATATTGACCAAGGAAAAGCTTTGAGTCAAAAAATGCACCCATCATGCGAAAGTGCCCAAAAACAAAATAGTTTGCCGTAGAACAAAACAGTGATGATGAAACAGAAGTGAGAGTGATGAGTGAACAAAAGAAAATTAAATTAAAAGTGCCATGGTTGCCTTATTTCTGTGGCTGTATTTTACAGTATCTTACTCCAGATCACCTTCAATTGAAAATACTAAGTGAAATTAAAGTTCTACACTGGCTGCAGGAGACACTGCGGCTTATAAGGTCTCAGGCAAGGTTACTAAAAGAAACCACAGGCACTGGTTTAGCAGATGGCTTGTTCTATTCCTGTATAGTAACCTAAGAAGCTAGTGATTCGATAGTCCTTTCCTGTTGGTGTGCCCAGTTTTATTCATCATAGTGAAGCGAAGACAGGAACTTGTCCACGTCCAAGTCATGAGGAAAACAATCTATAAGTTTCTTCCTTTCCTGGAATAAAAGTTAAAACACAAAAGCCAGTTAGATCACAAAAAATCATTCAACTTCTTCTTAACAGGCAGATCTACTTTCATGTCATTATCATTGAAAAACAGTAGTGATACAGAATGGAGGTTCGTTTGAAAAAAAAAAAAATCCCAATTGCTTATCAACAAGAGTAGAACTACATTTGTAGTCTTGTGTGGCTGTGACACTCATTACACACAACAAAATACAAGTGTTGAATGAATGCAGCATAAAGAGATACAGCTCTGCTATCATTAGTTCTTCATGAGTTAGGCAAAAATATATTGTCCTGATGGTGACATGAGGAAAAAGGCTGTGGTGCTGCCTAAATCCATCCATCCATCCATCCATCCACTCTTTAAACTGCTTATCCTGTTCAGGGCCACAGAGGGCACCCTGGACCATATGCCAGTCTCTAACAGGACTAGCACAAGCAGATATTCACTCATACAAGCAACTGTTTCCACTGCACCTAACCTGCATGACTTCAAAAGGTTTTATCCTCTGTACTGTGGCCACTCTAGGAAATTCCACACTTAGCTTGTTAGGCTGAAACAATTAGTCTATCAACAGAAAATGTATAAGCATTCATCTTCAAATGAAACCGTGTTATTTTCCCACTATTTCCTGAAAATGTATAGAGCAAACCATTATTCCAAACATCTGGCTGTATTTGAAACCAGATATATCCTGAACCTTAAGTTTTGCATGGCAAATAAAAGAGACAATTCTAATACATATTAATATATTTTAAACACAGGCCTATACTTGTGTTGTACTCACCCGGTCCTTCTTTTTGCTGGGAGATCTTTTTGATTCCTTCTTTGCAGGGGGGCTGGCTGTGGGAGAAGACTGTTTGCGTTTCTTTGAGTTCTTTGAGCTTGTGGGGGACTTTTCTTCAACTCCCTCCTGACGTAAACTGTCTTTTAGTGGAGTTCCTGTCCTGGCGATGGCAGCACGTGACAGAATCATGAGGGTGTGAGCAGCCATGTTAATGCTGTTTTCACTGCCAGTTTCACTGGCAGGGCTGCAGCTGGGTACATCTGGGGTGTTGGGAAGCAATAAATGCTTGGGAGTCCCCTCCCCATCTTTACCCTTCTTCTGTCGGGATGGTGTCCTGGGACAATCAGCAGGAGGCTCCTGGTTATGGCCAGTCCCAGGAAGACTAACGTCAGTACTGCCCGGTCCAACTTTTTTAACTGGGGTGGAAGGAGAGTTGTGCCCTTGCATGTCCTGCAGCATCTCAGCCGCTTGCTTGGCCAGAGAGATGGTCTTTGATGGTGCTTTTGCAGCCTTGGACTGGATATTAGATGCCACCTGAGGGACAGCTGGAGGGCTGAAGTCTCTTGATGTTGCGGATAAAGGCGTTGACTGTTCTTTTGTGCTACCCTTTATTTCATTCTCCTTGTTAGCTGTGACATTTGGTATCTCCTGAGAGGGAGTCCTCTTCTCTGTACGTCCTTCACGTGATTTCAAAGGAACCTTCTCTGCAGGTTCTTTCCTGCCGCTCTCCTCTTTGTCCTTTCTAATTCCTGATTTCTGTGCAGAATCAGAAGACGATGACCTAGAGGTATGAGAATCCTTCGCTTTTGGTTCATCATTACGTGTATCACAATTGTGTTTCCTGTCAATAGATTTTGACCTTCTTCTTGATTCTGCCTCAGGCTGCGAAACATCAACACGGTTGGTGCTTGCACTTCGGGTCTTCTTGCTATGGATCGCATGCTCCTGCTTGCGAGAGTTCTTTTTAACAGAATCTTTCTCTTGCTGTTGTAAAGGATTAGACTCCTTCACTAAACTAAGTCCAGTCTTGGGTTCTGCTGTGCATCTGATAGGCTCTATCCTCCTCTTGGGTTTGTTGCCACCCAAGATGGTAGGTTTTGTCCGAGTGACTGGCAGTGTTTTATCTTTTACAGCCTGCTGGACAGATTGTGATGTAGATGCATTTGGAGCTACAAATGTGGGTGTTGTTTTAGCAGTTTGTGGCTGAACCTCTTGAGAAGAGTCAAAACATAAAATTCTTCTATGACTGGGACCCTTTGCTGCATCCTGTTGGCCTGTGTTATCAGCCACCACAGGCTGAACCACAATACCAACCAGATTTTTCTCAGTTCCTGGAATTCAGAGAAATAAGGTCAGAGAAGCAATACAGGCAATAAAAACATTACGCAGACAAACACTGAGAAAGTTCATTGCAAACATTAAGTAAGAGAATAAAATGTCATTTTTAATCGATATATACCTTGAGCAAGCAGGAGGCCCTGTCTGAGTTAAACTGCAACTTACCAGCAGTCGCTGACTGTTTGGTTGCCACTGATGGAGAGTTGGCCTTACTAGTTTCTGTCGTATTTACTGGTCCACGGTTTGGGGTTGCAATAAGCTGTAAGCATAACAATGCATAAGTTATTGCTGAGGACCATGCTGAAATTCTAGTTTATGGGGGCCTCTTGTGGCAGAAAAGTTAACTGTAGCATGCGATACATAATTATAAAGTCAATTTTACAATTTGTGAAGTTTTTCAAATAGTGAGACTATAAATGTGATGCTAGTTTTAAAGAGGAAAATATATTGGCATATTTAAAAAACAAAAAACAAACAAAAAAAAAAACGTATATTTATCCCTGTGAAAGTATAAGTACCGTATGTGTTTTAGAATTTTTGGCAAATTTCTAAGCTAAGTGTAAGAGGGCTTGTGTGCATGTTGACATCTTTGCCTTAGAGACGTTAACACTAAATCTAAGTGTGATCAGGAGACAACATTCAGTTAAATTGTTTGTAGGACTTTTTGAATGCTGCCATAACCTTGGACATCTTTTGTACTAAAGTGCCAATTTGATCTTAGATTTGTCAAAAAAAAATGAGGCTTAGTAACATTTATGGAAATCCACCCATTCAATCTCAAGATACCTTTTCATGGACCAAAGTATCAGCAGAAAGCCCTGGATCACCCTGTTATTCTAGTGAAAATGGTAAAAACTTACAACAAAGCTACATTACCTGATTGGACACCATCTGGACCTTCCCCAGAGTATTCTGCCCCACAACAGAAATGGGGAGCATCATGGGCTTGACAGGTGATGGTAAGATGAGTGCTGATCCTGCACATAAAGAGCATAGATTGTTTCTGTTTTTGCCCCCCCAATAATACCACCATGTAAAGGTCATAGTAATAGGCTTGACAGACAGTAAGTAAGGACCAACAAAGATGAACAAAACATGTCAATCTGTTCTGCACCAAGGACAACTCATAACATGTGATGTGTGGAGCTCTAGAATGGACTACACATGATTGTAAAAACTGTTAAGAAACAATCTGTTGCCAAAATGCTGCATATGCTATTAAAATTTGCCATATTACATGAGAAACTGCAACTGTTTTATTGTAGTAGGATGCATTCTCCTTTTATCCTTTCTGTAATTTAAATAAGCTTTTTAAAATGTATTATGTATTTTATTTTACAATGAAAATGACTACATTTAAAAATCTTCATTACCACTGTCCTTAACTGTGCATGTTAGTTCAGGGAAGGACCAAAAAACAAAAACGAAAGTGAATTATGCTCAGCAGTGTTTTGAGAATTATCTGTCAGAGTAACTTTACTCAGAAGCTTTAACATTTTCATGTATCTCGCACTGTTACCTACACATTGATGTAGACAACCTGGCAGCGCATTGCGTCACAGCAACAGGCCCCCATATTATAATCGGTTCATAAATGTGAGAAAGCCAACACTGTCTGTTGTCTGTCAAGCCTGAATTCCCTAATGGGCAAAAATTACAACCAGCTAGAGAATTTGCATATTAAAATCGGTCTTTTGTGTCTTACCGGTGGAGAAGCCTGAGGAGAGAGTTGGTGTGGTCACTCCATATTGGTTGGTAGGCAAAGACTGTCCCTTTGAGACACCAACAGGCAGTAGCATCTGTCTGGTTTGAACATCGGTAGTTTGGGGTTCAGTCACAAGGAAATAGTTTGTAGTGGCTCCTGGAACAGCAGGGTTAGTGGTGTCCAGGGGTAGCTGAATTATATAGCTCTGCTGAGCCTGTGATGCCCCAGCTAACGGAGATGAAACTACTGCTCCAGCCTTACTGCTTAGAGGACTAGCATGTGCCTCAGATCTTTGTAAGCCACTAACTGCTAGCGCTGCCTCATCCAAGTTGGCCTTTGGAGTGCCAAGGACTGCAGGGGACTTAGCTGGAGAAGAAAGGTAGATGGTAGGTATCTTGGGCCTGGAAATGCTGGCAATTGCCTGATTCAAGGCTGCTTCACTGGATGAATCCTCCTCTTGGTTATCACTTATGATGATCTTCAAAGACATTATATTGCTGGAGTCTGCTGCAGCCTTGGTTGGGGTGCTGGGGTAGGTGGTGGAAGGATCGGGTGTACAGGAGGAGGATGCAGGTGAGGCAGATGTAGTTGTAAACGTTGCTGAGGTAGAAGCCGATGATGATAGCGACGCAGTTGTAACTGCAGTAACTGCAGCAGCAGATGTTGCAGAGTCAGATTCCGGTGCTACTGAGACAGTTGACACCAGCAGAGTTTCTCCTTCACTGTTTGAAACTGATGTATGAGGTAGGTTAGTAGTGTTGTTCAACTGATTTTGTACAGGAGACAAAAACACAGGCACAGCTGTAGAAGGGGCTGCAGCAGGTTTCTCTTTAGATCCTTGTGTTCGTTTATGCTCTTGTTTTTTGTCCATATTTGAGGCCAGTGTATCTTCAGGCACAGCAAATGCAACAGAGTCTCTTGATGAGAGAACTGTGGGTAATTCACTGAGGGCAGGTGTGATGGAGGTACTGTCTGTTGTTGCAGGCTCCTGACTGGCCAAACTGTCTAGAGGAAGGGGAGGTGTACTCAGTGGTGCATCAATATCCATTGGTGTTACATCAGCACTGTTACTGGAGAGTGCGGCTTTTTCTTTTCTGCTCGAGTTCACTGCAGTAGATGAGACACTTTGGGGATCCACCCGACTCACCAACAATCTGGCTGAACTGTTTTCAATTCTAGATGCTCTGCCACTGGGGCCAATAATGGTTTTCTTTAACAAAGTGGGAGCAGTAGACTTTCTTGTTTTACGCTCTTGTCCAGCTCTCATCTTCAGTGTCACTGGTGCTGTATCCAAAGCATTTGCATCTCTATTTCCAGCATCTGCAAACAAAACAGTACAAGGCTTAATGATTATTTTAACCCTATCCCCGTTCTTTAGGCGGGTTTGTCTTCAATAGGTATATAACAACAAAGGCATCAAGCTAGTGCTCTCTTTTTTCCATTCTTGATACAACTATTTCTATCTTGTGAGCAACACTATAAGCAGTATGTCCAACACTATAAATGTGGGTAGTTATCCACGTTTAAATATCACATCTCCCTCTTCTCGATGAAGTTTAGTTATTACCTGAGTTCACTTCAGTTCCAGTGTTGCCACTCAGAATGATAAATACTTTTGATTTCCAAATTGGCTGAACATGTCAAACAGAGGAAGTCTAGTAGCTCAAGCCTTACACCCTTGTCCCCTTTCCTCAGACTTTGCACCGGCACTACAAATTATACGTCTGACTGTATTCACAGTGTTTTACATAAACATGATGTTTTTTTCCTAAAGCAACCCTGTGTTGACCTGTGTGAGATGTTCTTGCTGTCCTTTTACGAGAGCCTACTTTAAGATTGTGAGAATACCTGGATCATCACCCTGGAGGGGTCTGACTGCAGATGATGGTCCAGCAGTGTCATTCTCTTCTGGACTACTGCTAAAATCTCCATCCTCTGTTTCTCCATCAGTAAATTTGTTTTTGTCTGCAAATATAAAGGGACTTGTTAATAATACTGCCATGCACAATTGGGATTTAGTACTTAACAGAATAATACACACAAAAAAACCAACACTAAAAGCAGAATAGGTTATAGTTACGGTAATCGAAGAGGTCAAACAGGGCCTGAAAAGCTGGGTCAGACTCTGTTTGCTCCAAAATGTCATGGATGGCATCATCACTCATATGGATTTCCCCCTGTAATAAACAATATGTCAGGAAATAAATTAACACCATTACAATAAAAATAAGCAAAGCTTGATTGGAAAACTTTAAAGAATATTTTTAGAAAAAAATTTAAAAAAACAAAACAAAACAAAAACATAATTACACTCCTCTAATATTAGCATGTATATTTTTAGCATCGATTCTAAATTGTCCGTAGGTGTGAATGTGAGTGTGCTTGGTTGTCTGTCTCTAAGTGTAGCCCTGCAATAAACTGGCGACCTGTCCAGGGTGTCCCCTGCCTTCACCCTAAGTCAGCTGAGATAGGCTCCAGACCCCCCTGTGACCCTAGTGAGGATAAAGTGGTGTATAGATAATGGATGGATTGATATTTAGTACCTGTAATCCGAGAATTTCATCTATGGACTGGTCTGCCTCCACTGTACTTGAGGAGGCCTTTGATGTTTGAGGCACTGGCTCACTGATGTTAGAAAAGAAACAGAAGGAAATGTTAGCCACATTTAAAAAGTCTTCATAATACATAATTCATTACAACAACTGTATACATTTATATAGGCAAAAGACGATTTCAACTCACTTGGCAAGGATTTTGTTTATGTTTTCAGCAAGCTTTTCTTGTAATGATCTGTCCCCCAATATCTTGTCACGAGCATTTTGTATTACTAGTTGCTGTGAAAATTGAGATGTTTTGTGAGATTAATTTTTAAATTAGAGAGCATGAACTGTCTGACACAATAAAGTTGCATTATCTTTTACACCCCTGAATTTGCTAGATAAAAATAAATATTAGATTCCATTAAAAGTGTGGATTCCAGTCCCAGGGATGTTGACCGTACACAACAAACCTAAATCAGCACAAAAACATACTAACGTCTCGAAAACTTTGTTGTTAAAAAGCATTGCTGCTCTGAGTCTGAAACACCAAACGTCCCTCGTCTATGAAGCAGTAAATCTATAGGTAATTCAACTGTAACTTTCTGACCATTCTGTTTAAAACCATTATCAGGGTGAAGAGAATCCAACTACACTGACATACTTACTGGAAAGTTCTCATCGACAACCTCTTCAGGTTGGGGTTCTGAATTGATGTTAGTAACAGTCATGGCAGTTCTGCCGGAACCACTGGACGCGCTCAGAGCGCCACTTCTCTTCCTGGGGTTGTCCCTGAGGGCAGCAGAAAAGATTATAGAGCAGCAACGTATACAAGGCATAAGCAAAACAATATGCGTACAACAAAGTGCAACCTCGCACTAAAACACCACACAATTAAAATCTGTGATTTGTCCTAGAAAGAAAATTTCATGTGCTGCTAGTAATGACGCTTTTCCATTTCAGTAAACCAGTACAACAGTCCTTTCATTACAGATTATGGTCGACTGATTCACTTAAATGGAAAAGCACTATAATTATTACGAATTACATCACACATCAACAACACCTGTGGCTTTCCTGCAATCATTTGTCAAACTGTCTGCTGTGAAAACACCCATTCCAGGACACTAGCACACAAAGGAATCAAGTCGTTGTAAATAACATCCAGTTCTGGGCTTTATTTGTGTACTGAGAAAGTACATTTTCCAGCCACTGTAGGTTAATTAGACAGAGTTTGTCTTCAGTACTCTCCCAACAATGTACTATCAACAACAACTGTAATATCACAATAACAGACATTCTTACCATTTCCGTCGACCAGGAGACATTGGTCCTGGATTTAACCGATTCTCTGAAACGATAATCTGTACTGGTGAATCCCCTGTAATGCACATATTACAACATCCATTATTCAAAAGCTCATACTTCTGATTTCCAACTTACATGCATGTTAACACGTAATGAGGTAAAAGAGCTTTCAGGAGCCTCAGAAGAAATAAAAAAAAGCTTCAACAGGAAGCTGAGCCATCATAAAAATAAATGATTAGCTGCTCAAGTGTTTCATATATGCACATAAAATCAGACCTTTGTTCAAAGACAGTAGCTCTACATTTAACATGCTACATTAGATTAAACCATCAATGTCACATCAGCACAGTAAAATTAATGTGATACTGAAACAATGACTGGGAGGAGGACAAAAAAATAATTAAAATATAAAAAAACAACTCAACCTCAATCAAGGCTACATTAAAAATAAATATATGCTGTATATGAAATGATACTTATGATACTCACGGGGTGTATTTACTAATCGGCTGCCATCGTGAATTTGCTGCGGTGTGCCACTGCCAGAAGCTGGTCTGTTGTGCGGGGCAGTGTAACACCCTGGAGTGGAGTGGCCAAGCATGCTGTGTGAGGTGTGAGCAGGGCTGACGATGGCGCTTGTTTCAGAAACTGACGAGCAGATGACACCATCAGCAGAGGTCACGGTCAGCGTCCGCTGTCGAGCCATATTTGCCACTCCAACGCGTGAACGTACTGCAATGGACAGAGGTTGGTACATAAAAGGCCTACATACAAACTCAGTGGTGTACCTTGAACCATTATTTGATTACTGTAAGCAATGATGCTGACAATGTCCACATTTGTTGTAGAAAAACAACAACAACAAAAAAAAGCCACTTATTGAAACATATTTGGGTTGACTGGGGTTTCTGAGCTGACACTAGCAGTTCAAATAGTAAGTCCAACTGATAAACACATGATGCTTATGATTAGAGAAGCCATTTTTCAAGCAGTTAGATTAGGTTTCCATATGCATCTGCACATAAGTGCATTATCTAAATAGATTCTACAGCTACGCGACATCTTCAACTGCATTTCCAAACTTTCAGAAAGTATAAGCCTAAAATGTCAGACATGTCAATGTCTCAGTTAAATCTACTCGTGTGGACAATGAGAAAAATTTATGGGAGACACTGCTATATACTCAATAACCGCAAGCACAAGAATTTTAGAGGTTAAACAACAGACTATTAAATTAAAATGGACAACCTAATATCATACTTACATCGTTGATTTGCTGATATAGCTGGGGAATTCTGCAATGACCTGAGGACAGAAGCAGAATGATAATAAAACCACATCAGTAAGGTGAAAAAAAGAAGCATAAAATCCAAGGTTTATGATTTTGCCATTTTAAAATAGCTTTACTGATTTGAATTATGAAGCTTGAAGCTCATTACTTAATTTGGTTGAGTGTAAAATCCAATTTTTTCCACAACGAGGTCATCATGGCAGGAACCTCACGAGAAGATTCTGTTGAATACAAAAAACTGAGTCAGCAACACAGCCAAGAAACATTAACAGTAACACATTATGATTGTTAATTAGGTCACGGGGATAATGGCAGGTAATCTTACCCTTTGTTACAGCAGCCATATACTCATTTAAAATGGTTGTAAGGCCTTTTCCAAAGACAGACTGTGTGAGCAGGGACGGACAATGAATCAGACATGTAGTCAGCCAATACCTCCATGTGCATGATATTCATTGAATTGTTTGTGTGGCGGCTAATCAGAGATAAAGACACACTTACAAAGACACAAGCAGGAATAGTCCCATCTCCTATAGTGTGCTCGGCATACTCTTTCAGATTGGGGCTCTCGTGAATAAAAGCTTGGCTTGTAGTCGACAGTCCCTCTTCTTGGAGGTAACCTGGAGAAAGACATTAATAACCTTATAGTCACAAAAACCCAGCAGCACGACTATTTAGCTCAACAGCAAACTAACTGTGACCCCACGGAGCTAGCTAGTTGACCTCTAGTTAACACCTTAGAGCATTGAGCCGCCCTGTTTACTTTTCAGTTTCAGTTGTCGGCTAACGCTAAAGCTTTGCTACCTCCGACGAGACTTACCTAAAACAAGCCGAGCGACGTCGGACGGGAGCAACATGGCTGCTCGATAGTTAATCAAATAGCCGATTTCGTGAACAGTTAGCTACATGCTCTGGAAAAGTCTCTGGTAAATCCGTTACAGAGCGTCAAATTTAAAAAAGACGTCAGAGGTATTACTCTGAAGGCGACGTCCAAATATACTACTCAAAAGGCGGGGAACTTAAGCACGCATAACCCGGATGTAGCAACATAACCTGCCGACTAGAACGTCGGTAGTTGTAGTCCAAGTTAAAAGTCCTTAATACTCGCTATATAAACATACACAAGTTTAACAGAGTGGACCTGACTTTATCAGGTAATCTACCACCCCAACAACATTGCTGTCAACAAAACAGAAAGTTTCTTGTGGTGTTAATAGAAAAGCTACGGACTAGTTCGATGCTAGCCACGACCAGGATGTGACGTAGCCTTTTTAGCGCTGCTGCTGGGGCGGGAATATCCTGCGTGTCGAGCGTGTGCGTGCGTGTGGCTGTTAACGCACGTCAAGATGGTAAAGTTGTCATGGGAGGAACAGTAGCACTTCAGCTAGCATCGGCACTTGCATGTGTGACAGCTCCGTAAGTACAAGCAGCACAGTAATCTGAGGTCAGTGAACAGACTGAGAGCAAAGTTTGAATGGACGCTTGTTAATAAAGTTCAAAGCTAGTCTGGTAATGTCGTGTTGCTAAAATAAATCGACTGCATGGCCACTCTGACTGTACAGTGATTACTAGTAGTTGGGTTACTGGTAATTATTTAAACTGCGTCTTCACTTGTCTGCGGGTTGCACAACAAAGTGGATTGATACACATACTACGTAATTGCAAAGAAGGTATACAGTGACTGAAAGTAATATCCTGTCTTGGTTACATCCTGTCATTGCAGGCTGAATAGTCTGCGTTACATCTACAGTGAAGCACAATGAGTCTGGCTCTTCATGATCTCCTGGTCTGCTGCAGAGGGCTGGAGAATGACAAAGCTACAGAGAGGAAGGTAACACACCTACATATAAACAATACATTTGGATGCATTGCTCCAAGCTGCCAGGCATACTGATTAACCGGTTTTATCATATAAAACTGAGCACTTGTGATTTTTTTCAAACAGAAAGAAGCTGAACGCTTCAGGCGGCTCATTCGATCTCCAGAGATTGTGCAAGAACTGGATCGCACCTCAGGAGCTAAAGCAAAAGGCTCCAAACAGCTCACATGGGATGCTGTTTTCAGGTAACCTGCCTCTGCATGTTTGCATGTTTGCAAATGTGCAACACAATGCACACAAAGTAATCTATGTCAGGTTATTTCCTGGCTATGTAAGATCTTTTCTTAGTTCAAGGAGGTTATGGTGGTGTTTATTTTTATTTTTTTTACCTGCTAACACAATGGGGCTAGTTTATTTGCATCTAAACAGTCTAGTTTTACTTTCAGTTTGTGTATCATTCACCACAGAATAACAGCTGGAAACTTTATTTATTGTTCTTTCTTTCATGTTATTTCACACCAATCTGTTCTTATTCCACATTTTGCAACATACCTGTTAATATTGTAAAGTAACAAGATTTTAGTTCCACTATCTACTGAATACTTTCTATCCTGTTTATTACCCCAAACTTTTCTCCGTCATCAGGTTTCTGCAACGCTATGTCCAGAAGGAGACCGAAAGCATGCAATCAAGCAAATCCAATGTCACGGCGACTACGCTGGCCATACGGCAGAAGAACATGGCTGAAATTTGCAGCTTGATCAAATATTTCATTCGATGTGCAAACAAACGTAAGGGCGCTGTCTTTTGAAAATCAGATTATGGTATAAAACAATTTGAGCTGAAATGATTGCTATTATATTACATCACTGGATTATGTTTTTCACATATGTTCAATCAGTATCTTTCATTATTTCACTTGACTTCGTCACCTCAATAAAAAACTATAGAAACTGAGCAGGTATTTTGAATATATTGTAGGAATTATAGTTAGTTGTCTTTTCCTGCAGGTGGGCCTAAACTAAAGTGCAGTGACCTGCTGAAACATGTGACAGATGTCCTGGAGAATTCATATTCTTGTTCAGCCTATGGAGAAAATTACAGCAGCCTTCTGATAAAGGATGTCCTGTCTGTCCGCAAGTACTGGTGTGACATCACTCCACAGCAGTGGCACAGTCAGTGGGCTATTTGTCTAGATATCGGTTTACATAATTAAATTATTTATCCTGATTTGTCATCTATTAAGTTTGATTTGTACTTACTTCTGATCCACAGGTCTTTTGGACTTGTACTGCAGCTTGTTCAGCTCCTCATCCAAAGCCATCAACCGTGTTTTGGTGAGCAGAGTCATCCACACGGTGGTTCAGGGCTGCTGCATGCAGACTGAAGGATTTAACGACACTCTTTTCGGCTTCTTTTCCAAAGCACTGCTTAATGCCAGGTGAAGCCTTTTACCAACCCCTATAGATATCTAACAATGCCTGTCAACACCTTTTTGTTGTTCATTGAAAACAGTATATATTATTAGTTGTGACAGTGAAATATAAAAATTGTTTGCTAAATCCCATTTTCCTGCTAGGCAAGAGAGACACTTGACCGTTTTGGAACACCTCGTCTCAGCTATGAACATCTTCTTGAGATCTGCAGCCATGAATTGTAGGATGAGGGTGTGTCGACTGGGAGAGGAGCTTCTGACGACAATACTGTACATCTGGGCTGACATGAGGCCCAGTGCGACTCTCAAAGAGGAAATTGTTGGATTCTTTAATCTGCAGATTTGTGTTCATCACCCCAAAGGCGCCAAGACACAGGACACAGGTTGAGTGGTGTTTCTTTCATTTTTGTGTTACTAATTGTGTTGAGTAACTTTGTTACTACATATAAAGATTTGTTTCTAGTGGTTTGAAACCAAAAGAATGGTTCTTATGGAGCACCAACAGTTTCTCAAGCAATTTTTGCAAAATTTGCAAACATCTAATGTAAAAAAAAAAAAAAAAGTATACCAGGAAGTTAATAAAAACAGTGACTGAGTCTGAGGTTTGCTTTGAAAAACTGTTAATGAGCATTGCATAGTTTAAACACAGGTATGTACTTAATCAATGAAACCAATACTCAGTGTGTCTTCTCTCACATATTAGGTGCTCATGCTGAGGACTGGACCAAGTGGAAGAGTCTGCTGTACAACCTGTATGATGCTTTGGTCAGAGAAATTAGTCACATAGGCAGCAGAGGGAAGTACGTCACGGGGACCAGAAACATCGCTGTTAAAGACAATCTGATTGAGCTCACAGCGGACATCTGTCGCCAGGTAAGTCAGGTCAAACCGTACATCTGCTATCATATCAGCAACATGTGTACAGTTGTGGCCAAAAGTTTTGAGAATCACACAAATATTAATTTTCACAAAGTCTGCTGCTTCAGTTTTTATAATGGCAATTTGCATAAACTCCAGAATGTTATGAGGAGTGATGAGATCAACTGCAATTAATTGCAAAGTCCCTCTTTGCCTTGATAATGAACTTAATCCCAAAAAAGACATTTCCACTGCGTTTCAGCCCTGCCATAAAAGGACGAGCTAACATCATTTCAGTGATTCTCCCGTTAACACGGTGTGGGTGTTGACGAGGTCAAGGCTGGAGATCAATCTGTCATGCTGACTGAGTTAGAATGACAGACTGGATGCTTTAAAAGGAGGATGGTGCTTGACATCATTGTTCCTCTTCTGTTAATCGTGGTTACCTGCAAGCAAACATGTACAGTCATCATTATGTTGCACAAAAAGGGCTTTACAGGGAAGGATATTGCAGCGAGTACGATTGCACCTCAGTCAACCATCAATCAGATCATCAAGAACTTCAAGGAGAGAGGTTCAATTGTTGCAAAAAAGGCTTCAGGACGCCTGAGAAAGTCCAGCAAGGACCAGGACCGTCTTCTAAAGTTGATCCAGCTGCAGGATCAGGCCACCACCAGTGCAGAGTTTGCTCAGGAATGGCAGCAGGCAGGTGTGAGTGCATCTGCACGCACAGTGAGGTGAAGACTTTTGGAGGAAGGCCTGGTGTCAAGAAGGGCAGCAAAGAAGCCACTTCTCTCCAAAAAACAACATCAGGGACAGACTGATATTCTGCAAAAGATGTAGGGATTGGACTGCTGAGGACTGGGGTAAAGTCATTTTCTCTGATGAATCCCCTTTCCAATTGTTTGGGGCATCTGGAAAAAGCTTGTTCAGAGAAGACAAGGTGAGCGCTACCATCAGTCCAGTGTCATGTCAACAGTAAAGAATGCTGAGACCATTCATGTGTGGGGTTGCTTCTCAGTCAAGGTAGTGGGTTCACTCACAGTTTTGCCTAAAAACACAGCCATAAATAAAGAATGGTACCAGAACATCCTCCGAGAGCAACTTCTCCCAACCATCCAGGAGCAGTTTGGTGATGAACAATGCCTTTTCTAGCACTATGGAGCACCTTGCCATAAAGAAAAAGTAATAACTAAATGGCTCGGGGAACAAAACATGAAGTTTTTGGGTCCATGGCCAGGAAACTCCTCAGATCTTAATCCCATTGAGAACTTGTGGTCAATCCTCAAGAGGTGGGTGGACAAACAAAAATCCACAAATTCTGACAAACTTCAAGCATTGATTTTGCAAGAAAAGGATGCCATCAGTCGGGATTTGGTCCAGAAGTTGATTGACAGCATGCCAGGGAGAATTGCAGAGGTCTTGAAAAAGAAGGGACAACACTGCAAATATGGACTTGTTGCATGAACTCAGTGTAATTGTCAATAAAAGCTTTTGATACTTATGAAATGTTTGTAATTATATTTCAGTATATCATAGAAACATCTGACAAAAACATCTAAAAACCCTGAAGCAGCAGACCCTGTGAAAATGCAACATTTGTGTCATTCTCAAAACTTTTGGCCACGACTGTATGTGCAAAGGAAATCACAGTGTAGCTATATAGTGCAGTTAGGAAGCCTGTTTTACCCTGTCTGGACAAATGTATTCCTTTTTATCTTGTGTTTTTGTCTTGCTATAGCTGTTCAATGATGACAGTGACACTCATATCCTGGAGGTCACCCAGGCTTCCCTCAGAGCCACACAGATGGGCAGCCCCACCCACGGAGCCGCCAGCAAGCGACGGCGCATTGAAATAGGCTGGGAGGTCCTCCGCGATCATCTGCAG